GCTTGTAGCCCAGCCCATTTCGTTTTAAATTGGCCCTGTGCCTCTCACGTGACTCACCCTCCCCATCTTTATCCCTCTCACGACACTTAGCCCCTTATCTGTATCCCATATATTAGAGCCTTTTTTATTTATTTTTCTTAGGGGGAGGGTTCAACTTTCCATGTGACCCCTTGTTCGACGTCACCCTTCCCCACACCACAGACCCATGTAGCGCACTCCATCCCTATCCTTATAACGGGCCTCGTCTCTACAAATAATTTATGATCCCCCTTGCATTGACTGCCCTCGTAGACCATTCATCCTCTAAAATCAACGATTTTCGTCACGTCCTGTGAAGGAAGCTATTGATGGAACTAGTTCCGAGGGTGTTTCCTCCATGAAAGCCATCTGATAACATAGTCCAGCACCCTCAACCTATATATGCGTTGAAATCGTTACTCCTGTTGTCAGGGACTTATTTGTTATTATTTATATAATGTTGGGGCTTATGTGTAATTTCTGAAACTTGTTATTATAAATAGAATGTGGTGGAAGGATGAAAGTATTCTTTCATTCTTTTCCTTTTTCCCCATCTCTCTCTCTTTTTCTCTCATTCGCTTTTGCTCTTCTTCTTTATCATTTACTCTTGATTTGATTATATCTTAAAGTCAACATGGTATCAAAGCATGGTTTGTAAAGCTCTAGATGTGTAGTTGAAACCCTAGGGCAAGTTTGTGTAAACCCTAGTGGGTGTGAAGGGTTTTGAAGAGATTCCAAGATGGGATTTATTTGCAAGGAAGTAGTGTTAAATCACATCCACACGTACTCTGCAACGACGACTTTTTCTTCGTTGTTCGCGATTCTGGTATGGTCTACTTTGTTGCTTTCTAGGGTTTGTGGTGATTGTGTGGTCGCTTTTTTATACATCTTAGAAGATGGTAGGTGACTTCAAAAGAAGCTGGGTCTTCTCCTAGTTTGACTCCAGTGTTGTGAGGTAGTAGTGATCACCATCCAGGCCTTTGTATTACGACTGTTAGGCTGGATGAGACGAACTATATGGAGTGGGCTTAATCTACTCATATGCATTTCACTTGTTGTAGGATGATTGACTATATCGAAGAGACTGTCACGTATCCTTCTAAGAGCGATCCTGAATTCAAAGAGTGGAGTGTAAATAATGCACTAGTTATGACGTGGTTGTTGCAGTCAATACAGCCACAGATCAGCAAAGGGTTTCTGTTTTTGAAAACAGCTAAAGAGCTATGGACGGTTGTGGAAGAGTCGTATTCCTCGGTTGGTAATTTTGCAAAACTGTATGAACTCCAACAACAAATTTAAATATTCAAGCAGGAAGACCAAACTCTTGTTACATATTACCACACTCTATGTGGTTAATGGGAAGAGTTAGATCACTACCAAGACTATATACCTGTGTGTGCAATTGATGTTAAAGCATTTCATGTTGTGGTAGAAAGAATCGAATCTATGAGTTCTTGGGTGGTCTGCATCCGAGATACGAGCATGCCAGGGTATAAGTAGGCAGGTATCCAGCCCCTACTTCTGTTAGAGATGTGTTTTCGTATATCCAGGTTGAGGTGAGTAAAAGGAAGGCTATGTTTGCACCTGTATGCACTAAACCTAAGCCAGAAGCACCATTGTCTGAGAGGTCTGCTCTTGCCACACAACAATGGAACAATCCCAATCTCTAAAAAGAGGGAAACAGGATGACAAAAGCAAGTTGAGGAGTGATCACTGTGGGTGTACGCGCCACACTAGGGAAACATACTAGAATCTACACGGTCGCCCTACTCCAGCTCCTGCTAATGCGAATGCTAGGCCAAGGCCTGGTCCTTTTACGGGGTTATCTACGGCACATACTGCAGCGCGAGACTTCGTGTATCTCCTCTGTATTTGTTCCTTCTAGTGTTTTATATGCTCTCAGTTAAACTCCATGGAAGAAAGCTATGCTTGAAGAAATGATGGCCCTCGATAAGAATGGTACTTGGTATTTTATTCCATTACCTAGGGGTAATAAACCAGTAGGCTGCAAATGGGTCTACACGATAAAGTATGAAGGAACAATTAAGAGATATAAAGCTCGTTTAGTTACAAAGGGCTTCACTCAGACATATGGAATTGATTATCTGAAAACATTTGCTTCCGTTGCCAAGATGAACCCTATACGTGTTCTTCTTTCTTGAGTAGCTAATTTGAATTGTCCCTTACATCAACTGGATGTAAAGAATGCTTTCCTTCATGGTGACTTGGAGGAAGAGGTGTATATGACTATGCCACCAGGGTTTAAGCTTGCCAATGGTCAGAATTTAGTGTGCAAGCTAAATAAAGCCTTGTATGGGTTAAAGCAGTCGCCACGTGCTTGGTTGACAAGTTTAGCACTGCTGTGAAAAGAGTAGGGTACACACAGAGTCAGGCAGATCATACTCTCTTCATCAAGAAGCACCAGGGCTGCACCACTGCCCTTATTTTATATGTTGATGATATTGTTATCACTGGAAATGATCCAGAATAGATTTGTCGAATAAAGTCATTCTTGGGGACAAAGTTCGAGGTTAAAAACTTTGGATCATTGAGTAATTTCTTTGCATCGAGGTGTGCAGATCGAAGAAAGGGGTGTTCATTTATCAACGGAAGTATGTGTTAGATTTGTTGGCTGAAACAGGCAGGCTTGGAGCTAGACCTATTGATATTCCCATTGAGCAGAATCATAGGCTTAATGATGTAGATGGAGACCCATTAGATGATGTGGGAAGATTTCAGCGATTGGTTGGGAGACAGATTTACTTATCTCTTACGCGCCCGGATATTGCCTACGCTGTTAGTGTGATTAGTCAGTTTATGCATGCTTCACGTACACCTCACCTTGAGGCAACTCATCATGTTCTTCGCTACCTCAAGGGTTCACCTGGTAAGGGGATATTGTTTAGCAGTCATGGCCACTTGTGTGTTGAAGCCTATACTGATGCTGATTGGGCAGGGTCCGTGACAGATCGACGATTTACTTCAGGATATTGCACATTTGTTGGAGGTAATTTTGTTTCATGGTGAAGAAAGAAACAGTCTGTAGTAGCTAGATCTAGTGCAGAGGCTTGAGTTCAGATCCGTGGCACATGGAGTTTGTGAGTTATTATGGCTATGTACAATGTTGGGTGAGTTGGGTCATCTTGTTCGCGAGTCAATGAAGTTGTATTGTGACAACAAGGGTGCTATTAACATTATCCACAATCCAGTTCAAACATGACAGGACAAAGCACATTGAAGTTGATCGACACTTCATCAAGGAAAAGTTTCGTCTTGGGCTGATTTGTACTCCATACGTTACACATGATCAGGTTGCTGATGTTTTGACTAAGGGTGTGAGCAAGACTTGCCTGCAAAATATGTTAGTCAAGCTGGGCTTATTTGTTATTACTTCTATAATGTTGGGGCTTATGTGTAATTTCTGAAACTCGTTATTAAAAATAGATTTGGTGGAAGGATGAAAGTATTCTTTAATTCTTTCTCCCTTTCCCCATCTCTCTCTCTCTCTCTATCTCTCATCCGTTTTCTTCTCCTTTTCTTCTTCTTTATCACTTACTCTTGATTTGATTATATCTTAAAACTCAACAACTCCCTCTTGCACCATTATTCAGACTTTGGAGGCGTCCAAGCTCAGATTTGCCTCGACGTTTAAGAATTTCCCACATTTGTTCCCCACTGCTTTGAACAATGACCGACTCCACAGTGAACAGGGAGTCCGTAAATGAGGATTCTTCCCTCACTTTTTCTAAGACTTCCAGAGCAACCTGCTCTGAAAACGCATACATCTAGCTTCAAGGAAGCTTCCCCCAATCTCTCCTTCCCTCATTGAGAACCCTCTTCTCCTCTTGGCATGACAGCGACCAAAACAAGATAAGTGATTCCGGCAGCGGGGAAATGCTGGCACCTCCCGTTACCTTCCACGCCCACTGAGCTATGTGCGCCAGAGTTCCCACTTCCTTGTCAAACTTCCCGACTAGACAACTCTGTAGAAAGTCCTTTCGCTTTCTTGTTCCCCTCTCATCCACCCTAAAGAAAACTCTCCTTGCCGCCAACCTTGTAGTGTCTGTGTTGACTAGAAGCTGTGGCAAGTTCACGACTTCCAAAACAACCTTCTTGTTGTCACTCTTGCTCTCATTCTCTCCTAGCTTGTTTATTTGTTTTTTTAACTTGTAATGTGTCTTTATCAACTGGACGTGAGAGAAATATGTCCATAAAGGAGATTAAGGAACTTCTTAGAACAACACAATATATCTGATTCAGCCATCTTTCCTTACAGATTTTCTGAACTGCCATAGAAATGAGCAAATAAAAATTAAGAAAAGGAAAAAGAATCTCTCTTTAACCTACTGATCATGATAAATATATTTTCAGATGGTTCAGCTGTAAGATGGATCATGATGTTGCTTGTTTAGAAGAGCATTAATTCTGATTCAGCAAATATTTGCAAAAAATGTGGGTTGGATACTGAGTCAAAATAAGTAATCGCGGTAAAAGAAAAAAAGTTTGTTGTTAATCCTGAAATTAAATTTGATAAAGGAAAAAAGTGGCGAAGAAATTTTGGCCCGTGTTACTGTTTCTTAATGATCCATGTAGTGATCCTGGTGAAAATTTGAAAATAATACGAAACATAGAACAATGGGACAATCTGGCTTTCTTAATTCAGGTTATAAATTTTCAATTTGGACTATAGTTGGTTTGTCTGCGAAAGGCTCAATTTAATAACATGCAGAGAAAGTGTGGCATGACTTTTTACTTTTTTTATATGACACCACCAATCATAATTCTAGCTCTTTTATTATTATTATTTTTTAAAGGGCAAATCACTTGACAGAAGGTTGTAGCCTGGTATCTCCTGTACCTTCCGAAGTGGAAGGTAAATGGTCCCCACGGGGATAATTGGGTGTGGAAGTTACTTGCCAAGGTAAACAAAAAAAAAATAAAAAATAAAAATAACTTGGTTTTTTACTCCATTGTTGTGGCAGGAAACGTCTTCGATTTTGAGATTCTTCCAAAGTCTCAACTCTTGCTCTTCTTCAAAGCAAGAGCATGTTGAAACTGTTCGAGAAACTGAAGCATCTACATCCTCTGGTAATTCTGTGATCAAAACTTATCTCTCTCTCTCTCTCTCTCTCTCTCTCTCTCTCTCTCATGCACGCACATGTTGAATTTGGTGCAGGCTCAAAGTCAGTAGGTAATATTTGCCCTGACCTGATAAAAGCAGAGCCGTCTCAAGAAATTCAACTTGCAGAGACTTGGACCAACAGTAGCGCGCTTAGTTTAGGTGGAGATGAACAAAGAAAGGATGTATGGAGTTATAACATTGCTGAAATTGACCCCTCCGTGATTAATGAATTACCATTGGAAATCCAGGATGAAGTGCGAGCTTGGCTACGACCTCACAAGCGTTCTAATTCAGCCAGACGAGGTCCAAGTATTGCCAATTATTTCTTACCTGCCAAAAACACATAGAGAACTCCAAGTTGGGACCTGTACATAGTTGTAATCATTAATCTGCCAACTATTATTTTTAGTCTGCTTTCTTGCTGATTATTAATGTGGAAACAGAGTCCAGAGAACCCCAATCCCTTTCATTTAGTCACCTGAATCTTTTGTAATGGGAAATCCAACGTAATTTAGTCCAGCCTGTGTAAAGTTTCTCCCTTTTTTCTTCTCTTACTTTTCACCGTCCTTTGGATCCTATTATAAAATTGACGTAGTAAAAATTTGGAAGAAATTGAAGTTCAGAGCACAGTAATTTCCTTTGTCCTCCTCCTAGTGATGGGTAAATTGTGAGTTTCTTTTTCTTTTTCTTTTTTATTTCTTATTTTTGTGTTTTCTCAATCACTTTGATTGAAACATGTTAATTATACATTCCTTGGAAGGGCAACCCAAGTACTGATTGTACCACCCTTGTGCACTCGAGCGTTTTCAGAAGAATATGTGTACTATCTGATCGATACTTTTGACAATTTTCCGTAACAATTAATCAATTGTGATTATTCTAAGGAATAATTTAATAAATGACAATTTATTTGTATGCTATTACATAATGCTACTTTAACAAAATGTATTATAAATATGACCTCTGCACTAGTAATTTCAAAGTATCCCTTCACATTATGCAAATTGCCTTCCAAACCATTGTTGAACGGTCACCACCACCACCAACCACAACTCACCACCCACCCAACCCCAACTTCACCTCCATTCCCACCACTAGCCACAACCCACCATCACCACAACCCCAACTTCACCTCCATCCCAAACACCACCATCCACCCACCCACCATTTCTCTCCGGCGAACCACCACCCCCACCACAGCTGAGCACCAACTAGAAGATAAACAACAAATGTGTATATATATATATATATTTTGTCTACCCATTTATTTAAACTTTTGATCCATCTGCCTTTGTTTGCCAAACAATTTAGTGGTGGGGTGGGGGAAGGAATCAGGAAGTGTTAAGGAATTCAATTCCATTGGTACAATGCCAGGGACACTTAATTTTCAACACTTCTTCTTGTCTCCACTCTCTCTTTCTCTTACATTTTTCACCAAAATTCCCTATTATTTAAAATTTTATCACCACCACCCATCGACTATACATTCCGGCGATACTGACAAAGTCATCTTCTCAGGCTGAGACATTCTGCGACCAAACCCATCTTCAACCACCCACCACCTTTCCCCACCTTAATGCTTCACACGCCATAGCAAATCCCAAATTCCAAATTGTTGTTTCTGTTTCTATGTTCTATGATTTGTTGTCAAACATGGTAACGGGGAATATGTGTGTGTGTGTGTGTGTAATGACCCAACCTCGGAGGATCCGAGTCATTAACAGGCGATGAAAGTAAGTTTGGGTCCTTACCCGAACGTGAGGGCCTACTAGGGGCAAAATAGTCATTTCATACAAGGTAGGAGGATAATTTGACCCTAAACAAGTCAAATAAGGTCCATTAAATCCATTCTAATCATTTGATAACATTCTAAAAGGTTCTAAGGACTTCAACCATGGTTTCCCACAAATATCCCTTTTCGGTTTAAGAGATTTCTGGAACAGCGGTCATAACTCTCTTTACATTTGTATTTTTGGAATGCGGTTGGTATCATTGGAAAGCTGACATCAAGCTCGTTAGTTTGGATTCAAGAATGACCTAATTTGGATTTCAAATGGAGAAGTTATGACTTATCAAAAAAAAAAATTAAGAAGTTATGGTTACTTGAAATTGGGGGTCCAAAACTTTAATATGTCAAGACTCAATTGATTTTGGGACACTTGAACCAGTTCGGGGACATTTGAACCTGTTCAACTTGGGTAGTAGCCCATTTTCGAAACCTAAATTCATATCTCAACCGGTTCAGAGGGGCTGAACCATTTCATGGCCAGAATGCATAAAATGGCACAGAAAAACCTATTTTGAGTGTCGACACCACTTTGGTCCCATGAAGGTCATTAAAATATTTTTCAACTTGTAATAAACATGGTATATATGACACCCAAGGCTCCCATTACACTCGTAAACATTAATATACTAAATCATTCAATCACTTACATACCCAATTTCCGTCTATTTAAATTTCATAGTAAAAATAGTTCATTTACATAAGAGCATAATTCCCAATTTCAATTTAGCATTACATACGTGGAACTAAAGTCAACATACATTCCCAATATACATTCCAAGATGACCATAAGTCATCCAAAAAAATATGTTCACAACGTTTTTACAATAGATAACAAAAATTACAAATCCATGGTCAAGTCTTTATAAAAACTGTTGTCATTACAAAACGAGTCGAAAGGAACACGTGTCCACTTCCAAGTTCGTGGAGGTACCTCATCAACCACTTCTTTGGTGGTTCTTGAAAATTATTAAATAAAGGGGTGAGTTAAATAACTCAGTAAAGTATGCCTAAAACACCCCTCCCAAAGACCCGTTAACACATAATGAATGGAAACGAGAAAGAGGGATCATATTATATCAATCCATATTTACAGAACAATTAGCCAAAACTACGAGTCGCGATTTTAATTGTTTTTATTTGAAGTTTAATGTCAAATATGGTTTTGTTGTCTGAGAAAGCGAAGTTGTTGATTTCAATGACTGGGTTTTGTTGATAAAGAGAATGATTTTTAAACCGACGGTGAAATTTGAAATACCAAACCTTAAGCGGTGCAATTGTTCATCCATTGAAAACCCAGCTTTTAGTTCAATTGGGTTATCTCTGAAGCTTCTAATTTGGTCTTTGTTTGATCTTCTGAAACTCACTGAAAATCAGTCGCCTAAGGTTGTGTGCCCTTGCTCGCGTCTATGGATATTGAAGTTATGTGCACTTTCCCATTTGGTTGTTGCTCTGAATTTTATCGACTCTCAAAACTCTCCCCTTTGTTGTTCGTTGCGTGATTGTATGGGTATGGGGTTGAATCATGAAGAACATCTCTTTCTCTGTAAAAATTATATATATATGTATATGTATGTATAATTGGGTTGGAATGCATTTGGGGTTCATCTCAAGGTTCAAAATTCCCTTTGTGCAAATAAATATATGTGTTATACAATGTCTATATATACCATTTGGGAACATTATATATAATGATAGGGATAAGGGTATTATGGGTATTTTACTTAGTTAAGTGGATGACATCAGCAGAATCCGTCATTGATTGCCGTTGACTGTCACATAAGGGAGGTTCGCGTAGGATAGTTTCATTTTTAGGAGAGGTCCGAATAATTTCTCAAACTACAGGGGAGGTCCTTGTAATTATGGCAAATTATAAGGGAGATCCGTGCAATTACCCTAAATCATATAGTTTGCCAACAGAGGGTGAAGAAATTGTTGGCGCGTGCAAAAGGATAAAACATGTGAGGTGTGTACATGACATCAGTAAAATCCGTCATTGACTTGCGTTGACTGTAACAGAAGGGAGGTCTGTGTAAGTTAGTTTTATTTTTAAGGGAGATCCGAGTAATTTCCCAAACCATAGGGGAGGTGCCTGCAATTATGGCCAATCATAGGGGAGTTTTGTGTAATTTACCAATTAGTTTTTTCAATAGAACTACGATACCCCTCGATTTCGGAATACGGGTTGATCAGGTCCGTGCACAAAATCAAGGAATATCAAGAAATTAATATTTTAAAACAAGCACAGAATACAAATAGGTAATTATAGAATAAATAAAAGTTGAAAGGAAAACTAAAATATTAATTAAATAATTAAATCCTTAATGAATAAAATCCAATAATTAATAAACTTCTTTGATATCAATAATTCTCTTCGGGAATCCATACCATATGGACCCCTAAATAAAATCCCAACTGAAGTAAATACTAATACTAAGTCTGATAAATAAATGAATAAACTGAAGAATGTCTTACATCAATGATCCGAAAGAGTGAAAATGAATAATCTCTGATCTACACGAACAACTCTAAGACTGGTACTGCCGAGTACCTGAAAAATAAAATGGTGGATCAAGCTCACAAACAAGTTCGCTCTACTACGACCCAATCAGAGAACCGATAATCAATACGTCCCTAGCCAAACTCATGCTATATCTACATAGTCGATATATACATTTATACACATTAGGACTCTCACTAGTAATATGGCAGTCTCAATCATGTAGTAGGCATCATGCAAAGCGCACACAAAGTAATCATGAATACTGTCATCTACAAGGGCACACACATCACCTATTCTGGCTACCCATCGGAATCCAACAATATACGCCTTAGTCCTAACCAGGGGCAGAGCCAATTAAGGCCTAGGGGGGGCATGTGCCCACCTGGCCTGGCTCCGCCCAATAGAATATATATAGTTAATTTGTAATTTTTTTTAAGTATATATGAAAAATTATATATCGTGCACCCCTAAATTTTAAATTTCTAAAATTATCTTAACTTTTTCTTTCTTTTGTTCTTTAAATTCCTTAAATTTCTTTAAAAGAAAGTCAAATTTTCCTTTTAGAATCATACTCTAATTTTTTTTTCCTTTGAAATATATCTCAATTTTCTTTCTTTTTTCTTCTTAAAATTCTTCTTTTTGCATGTTATATCAATGTTAGTCGATTTTTTTTTTTTTTTTTTTTTTTTTTATTTTAAATTGTGCCCCCTCTGAATTGAAATCGTGGCTTCGCCCCTGGTCCTAACCATAGATCCGAAGACCTTAAGCTTGTATCATGGTTCACACACACACACACACACACACACACATATATATATACAACATTAATAAATAAATGTCATATCTAACAATGGCACAAGTAGAGTGTCATGACTTAATAGCCAGTCCACTTACACATCAATACCATATCTAACAATAGTACAAATTATCAAAGAGCGTAACTTAATAGCTATCTCAATGATCAACATTACATACAAGAATAAATCTCATCATAACTATATATTTAAGAGCATGACAATTATAATCCATAACAATTTAAGTCTAGAACTACAGTTATGATAGAAACATGATTTTAAAATCATAATATTAACAACTTATATTTAACAAGGATAAACAATTAATTATATCCATTTATCATGCTTGTAGATCATAAGAATATCAACAACAATGATTATAATCCTATAACCAACAACTATATTTAATTACACAAATTAAATATTCCAAAAGATTAATTGATATAATAATGAAATCAACAATCATATTTAATTACACAAATTAAATATTACAAAAGATTAAATTAATTTTAGTTAATTAATTTAATTATTTCCATCTAACATCAAAACA